TGCGGGATATATAGTGTGTGTTAGCGGCCGTCATTTCTGGCCGGTGACCTAGTGGGGTCAATTCTGTTCTCCACATTGTCTATCACAAAAAATTGCTTTTATAATCACAAAAGGCTATCAAAATGGTTTTCTAGATAAGCCATCTTAGCTTCTCACTTCTTTTATTTCTAGAAAGGTTAAAGCTTTGGATTCTTCTGTGTCTGTCCTCTGTTTGGTGGCGTTGCATCTTCCAGATGATTTGCACAAGCTCCTCATAACTCGGGAGTTTAACCCATAGCTGTTGTATTTGTTGAAATAGTTTTCCTAGTTCTTTACTTTTCAGTGTGGTTTCTAATGTTTTCAGTGGACAGAGGTTTATCATCTTCAGTCAAACCTATTGATCTTCCCCTTTCAGAGGCCTCCTATTGCTTCTTAGCTTAAAAAAATCCTTTCTCAATGAGAGAGAAAGCAGATATTGACTTAGTTCTTGAGGGCTTCTTCTCTCCTTTCCTTTCCTTTCTGGATGTAACTCTTTGTTTGATCTGTTTGGATTTATACCGGTTTACAGTGTGCACAATAATTATTTTCCAAATAGTGAAGCAACCAGACCCTTCCCCTTTATTGGCACGTGTGTTATAGAATTGTGTCATCAGCACGTGTGTTATAGAATCATGTCATTTTTAGTGGGAGAGGCTGTTTTGAGAAGCTTGATGTCCATGATGTGCTGTTGAGTGAGTTGTGGCTTGCAGGTGTTATGTCTCATAATATCACCTTTTGTCCAAGAGGAACTCCACCCGTTTGTGTGTGTGTGTGTGTGTGTGTGTGTGTGTTGCATATTTGCACCAACCTAGTTTCCCATGACAGGGTAGGAGTGGAGGTGGGGAAGGTGGGGTCGGATAACCCCTCCCCAACGAAGAGAAAAAACAAGAAAAGAAAGTGCCCGTGTCTTTCCTGGAGGCTGGTGGCCACTCAGCTGCTCTGTGGGTCCAGAAGCTGCTCTGAGAGGCCTTGGTGGGGAAGAGGGGAAGTCTACAGACACCTGCTGGGGGACAGTGGTGTCCATTGTGTGACAAGCTTGGCCTTCCTTCCCCACCTACAGAAGTGTGAGGAGCAGGTCTGCTCAGGGCCTCCCAAGAGGGACTGTCCCCAGGTCGGTCAGAGCTGTGCTTGGTGCCTGCCTGGGGGTTGCAGGAGCCTAGTGGGCGTCTCACAGAAAGAGGGCTCGGATCTGACTGGCCACCCCCCTTCTTCCTGTCCACAGCCTGCCACCCCCAAGAAGTCTTCTGTGGCTCCGTGCTCACAGGTGGGAGATGCCACAGGACACGAGCCTGGCTGCTAGATGAGGGCCTTGTGATGGCAGGGGGAGGAATGGTTTTCCAGCCAGTCCGGCCTAGGCTCCGACCCCAATCCTCCTGCCTGGCAGCTGTGGGCCAGTTTGCTGATGTGCTTGGTCTGCAGTCACTGTCCCAGGCCACAGAACTGGGCAAGGAGCTCAGTCTGGGAGTGAGGCAGGGGCTGGTAGGTGACAAAGTTTCCACGGGAGTCTCCCTAGCATGTTTGGGCTGACAGGGTCCCTGGAGAGCAAGGAGAGGGGACAGGAACCATGCGGGCATGGATTCTCCAAGCTGTCTGCTGGCCTGGTCAGCAGTTGTCATTTACCTGTGGGCACCATGAAGCCACTGGTGACTGGGGCAGGGACAGTAGGACAGGCAGGGAGGGTGGCCTGAGTGCTGGTCATTGGCTGGGTAGAGTTAGACTGCTCGGGACAGACTGACTTCCCTCATTGGCAATCTGGGCAAATGAAATTTTCTGTTTTTCTGTTGGTGAAATGGGGATAATTCCAGAAAGGATCTCACAGGGCTGTGGTGAAGGCAAAATTATGGAGTGGGAGCGACCCTGGCCGCCTTCCCTGGACAGCACTCCCCAGGAGAAGAGCAACTCCTCAGCTTCCAGGCACAGCACCTGATGTCCTCTGCCGTTCCTGGGGTTCCTGGACACTGTCTAGACAGGTCCCTGATGTCCTGCAGAAGGCCCCTTGTCCACTCTACAAGGCCAGATACATTGGCCCAAGGTCAAGGAGTGGGCAGAGTGTCAAGGAGTGTTGGTGCTGGGGAGACCTGGGGCGCAGCAAAGGCCCCTTCCACAGAAGGGGTCACAGAAGCTAAGACCTGTGCTCAAGCTCTGTTCAAGCGAGATTTCTGGCTCCAGGGCAGGGAGGCTGGGGCTGGCCCAGTGTGAATGCGAAGCCTGGTCCCAGGGTTGCATCCAGGGCTTTCCTGCAGGGAAGGTGAGAGCACTCTATGTCTGTGGGTAACTGGCTCAGCAGGCGGTCTCTGGTTTCCAGCCCCTGGCTCTGGGCAGAAGCTTCTGCCCCTGTGTCTTGTGTCCAGTGGGCACCCCCTCTGGCCTTCCTGCCCATAAGAGCTGGTGAGGGCTCTTCTCTCAGCTGGGTCCCAGCCCACGCACTTGATGAAAAGAACAGAAGCATAGTCCCGTCCTGCGAATGTCCCAGACCTCCCCACACTGCTCTTTCCTGCTCTCCTCACTCCTGCTGCCCTCCATGGCCAGCACAGCTGGCAGGCGTGGGGAGGAGGACAGCACCACCCCGGACGTCCACAGATCTAGCTGTAAACTCAACTTTTTTGCAGGGGGAGGGTGCTGGGAATTGAACTCACGACCTCATGTTTGCCAGGCAGGCACTGTACCGCTGAGCTATATCCCCAGCCCCTGATAACCCAGCTTTGATTAGTGAATGAAAATGGGCTTCATTTTCCTCATCTGCAAAATAGGAAGAATGGAGCCACATACAGTGTTTGAATGGCGAGGGAGAGGGAGGGTGAGAGGGGGACAGAGAGATGGATGCTTGTTAGGGTCATTTCTATGAACTCTCTGAGCTGAATTTGAGCTTGCTGGGCAGTGCCCAGGCTGGGGCACAGAGATACTCGGAACAGGCACCTGCCCTGCCCTTGGGAGGCTGAAGAGAAGAGTTTCCAGGGAAGCTGAGAAGCACAGAGCCCCAGCTCTGGGGGAGGTGTGCAGAGCCCTGCAGTGCATGGAGCGGGGAAGGCTGGGCAGGGTGGATGCCTGATTCTTCCAGAGTCAGCCCGTCTCACGGCGCAGAGGCACAGGTTGGAGAGGCTCAGGCATACCCTGCCCCTGTGGGAAGTGACGGCAGAAAGGCACCTGGGACAAGGGTGAGTGGACAGATGGACCACAGGTTCGGAGGTTTCGCTCCACCTCAGACTCCAGCTCCTGTAAGGCTGTTGAGCAAGGGCCAGACCTGAGAGCACTGCCCTGTGCCCTGAGAGAGCCTCTTCCCCGGGAAAGGTGGCTGCTTCTCTAGAGGTCCCTGGTCCCCATGCTTGCAGACTGCCCAGCAACCCTGCATGCTCCTTGGATTCTTTAGCTGAGACGAGGCCACCAGCACTCTGCCTTCCAGCTGCTGCTTGCACCTTCCAGAGGGCCTGGGAATATGTGTGCGAGTGGGTGTGTGCACGTGTGCACAGAGGGTTGTCTGGGAGCTCTAGAAGTTGGGTTGTGCCTAGGCAGTCCATCTCCTCTTAGAGACTTGCAATTTGAGAGCTGGATTTTGGAGTCAGTCCCCCCACCCCCACCCACTGTGAAATCTAATTTGTTGAGTTTTAGCTCTCATTGCCTTGAGTTGCTCTTGATGCCAGCTTGGGATCCTCAGTTCTTGCCTCGTAAGGCACTAATGAAGCACCTTCCCTTGCAGGGCACAGACTCTCTTATGAGGAAGTGTGACTTGCTGGGTCCTGGACAGCAGGCAGAGCTCCTGGAGCGGGGGATGCACGCGTAGGACCCCCACACCCTGAATAAATGAGCTCCCAGCCCATTTAGTCCAGGTGGGAAAGCAATCCAGGGTCTGTGGCACAAACTGAAAGATGTCACTCTGCAGGGAAGTGTTAGTCCACGGCCTTTGGACAAGCCAGTGAGAAGAGGTTCACTAGGTTCCCACCCGGAGCTCCCAGGAACGGTCCCCTGCAGGCAGGGCGGTGGAGAGGCAATGCGGTGACTCCTCCCCAGGCTCTTATTTGAAATGCTGAAGTGGGTGCGCTGAGAAATCAGAAGCTCATGTTTCCACTGTCTTCCCTTCCCCTTGTCCAGCTAGGCCAGCACCCCAGGGCCTCAGGGCTGTGAGCTGCCCCAGGGCACCTCCCTTTGATCTCCCAGCCCCTGCCCAGTTCTTCCCTTGTTTCTGTCTCCTAGAAGCCTGTGTGCTCCCGTGTTCCTTCTGACTGGAGGCTTTGCTGACTCTTCCTCCCAGGCCCCAGGTCACACCATTTCGGTCCACAGAAATGTGGGTTTTGCTTCTTGGCAATATAAAACTCTCATCTGGGGGCTACTTTTCCAGGAAGGTCCCTAAAACACAACATGCAAATTCTAGAGTGCTGGCTCATGCAGAAGAACAGAAACGCAGGTTGCAGGCAGTGTCCACTGTAGGGACCAGAACTCTAAGACTGGGTCTAAACCTGAAGTCTCCCACTTTGCACTTTCCTCCCTCCCACTCCAACAGTACGGGAGCTGTTACTACCCCTGCTCAAGCTGGTGGCCTGTTGCCTGCTACCAAAGTGCCAGCCTATGAGCTCATAGGCTTTTGTGAGGCCAAAGGCGCATAGATTCTATGGGTGATGCTTTCTGAGCTCTGCTCTTGCTCACGTTATCTGCACAGCTCTGTGATTCCCACCGGGAGAGTCAGGAGTTAGTCAGGGCTCCCCACAGTGCAGCGGACCTGGCAGCCTGCAGCCGACTGACCACCAGGGGGCAACCGCACACAGCAAACCTGTCAACCCCAAGGGCTGGGGGAGCTGTGGGTTCCACTTGATCTCCTAAGCCTAATTTTCTCAGAAGAAAAAGCAACCAAAAGGAGAATGTAGTCTACGTGGGCAGGGGTGAGGACCCCAAGGGTGGGTCTTTTTCTCTTTTAAGGATAGGCATCCATCCTGTCCAAACTGTCCCCAGCATAGACAAGCTGCAGAAAGGACGAGGGCGTGAAGTCTGGCTTTTAGTGCATATTAAAATGAGTTTATTTACATAGTAACACGATGCCACAGAGTACACAGCAAAGTACCACAGCAAACCAAAGGGCGGCACCACTGGTGAGAGCGGACCTGTTATTGGTAGATTTATACAATTCTATAATATGTAAGTGGAGAGTGAAGCTCTGGACAGAGCAAGAGAAACAAGGTTTTCAAATATAGTGTGAGCAGTGCCATGGGGAATTAAGAGATTGGAATGAGGGCCGTCATGATTCAGGTGGCAGACCTCTTGCTTCTGCCTTGATCTCACACCAAAATGCCCTGCACATCATCCACAGAAATCCCAGCCCCGAGTTCACACACAGCGCTCTTTACAGTCAGCAAGGGAAGGGAGCCCACATAGTGTTGGAGCAGTGTGGATAACCTTCCCACAAGGCCGCCCTGAGACCCCAGGGCTGGTGCAACATTCAAGTGATTGAGACTGCAGACACACAAACTAGCCACACACTAGTGGGCCAAGTGGATTTCCTGTACTATAATATTTGTAGCAAAATATATACTTCTGTAGTTCTGCTAGGTTAAAAAACTTCTGACCTCTTTTGATTCCCTGAAACTTCCTTAATTTAAAAAAAACCATGGGGATGTGTTGTATGGGGAAGAGATTGGGAGGCCCTGGGAGCAGATTGTGGATGGGGGTTTGGAATGCAGGCCCCTGCAGCTCCCCCTGGGCAGGCAAAGCTTCCGGCAGTGGTGGATGTAGCAGACTACGCTAATTTCAACAGCTGTGGAAAGGAGCTGTGTAACAGCTGTATAGCACCTTGTACAGTCTGGGCACTTATAAATACTAAGTAGAAGGATGCTGAATGGTAAACACCTCTGTAGGAAGGTTTATAAAAATGGTACAATGTAGTAAGAAAACTCCAAAAGTTCTTTAAACATATCTACTGAAACTACCTTATGACCTTAAAAAAAAACACACACACACACACAGTCCTCGGCATCATATGGTTATGATGTTCCCATGCTGAGGTCTGGGCCGCAGTCATGCTATAGTGTGGTGGGAGAATTCCTTCCCCTCAGACACCAGGGACTTCACTCTCTGCCCCAGGCTTCCTCCATCATCATCATCCTCATCCGCATCCTCATCATCAACCTTTTTTCCTCTTCTAATAGAAAAAATGGACATCTTAAAGAGAATAGGTGCTTTTTAGAGGATGGACTTTCTTTAGCAGCTGAACTGCTGATATGGAATGTATAAGAATTCCCCTCCCTGGTGTCTGTCACACTTGGCCTTACCGTCTGAGAAGCATCAGGACAGAAAGGCTGATTTCTTTGGTATCATCTCTGGCTAGAATCTAGCACCATGGCTCTTCTGGCTTCCTGCAGCGCCCCTGGTGGCAGTGCTGCGTGGGCATGGACAGCTGGCTCCTGGGCACATCTCAGCAAGGGCAGTGCCTAGCTGTGTTTGTGTGCCGGCCTGGACCACAGCCTCAGTGCTCTTGGCCAGCAAGGAGCATGGGAAACACGCCCAGCGAGTCCAGTCCCCGTGGGTGCTCACACTTCACACAGCTGCCATCCCTTGAAACACAGGAGTGCAGGGTCCTGAATCCACCCAGCTTGTAGGGCTACAGGGTGTTTTCCCAATCACTTCTAGTAAAACTATGGGAAAATGCTAACTGCAGGTTTCCGGCAAAACCAAATGTCAGGTGACTTCCCAGTGCCAGAGTGTTAACAACTCAAATTCAGGAAGCTGGGTACAATCCTTTTATGCTGTGTTGTGCTGTGCTGGGCCCCAAAGATCTTGCATGGAAATTTTATAATACTAGAAACTTTGAAATACAATTATAGGTAGTTGTACTCCCAGAAATGTCCTTAGCATTTCCAGGGGTGCAGATTTCTTGGCTTAGAGTTTTACATGCTCACAGGCACACTGAGTCTGGAAGCAGACCTGGCCTCCACCCATCCGACACTAAACCCTCATGTGTTTCACTCCCAACCCCCCAGTAATTAGGTGGTGTGGGTGCTGTGCCCCTTGTGTCCCTCACACAGTCCGCCCTCTGAGGGTGCGTCCGAAAGGCATCGGCAGGCTCCTGGCTCCTGACGCTAGCAGTCTCGGGCTGACGGTCCCACTCTCGGTTCTCACACCGCGGCTGCACAGGTTGTGATGGCCTTTCCCATCCCGTGCTGTGCCTAGCTTCTGCACAGCACATTACTACATGCGCTCTACAGGGCTCTCCCCTGCCCCATCCCCTGCGGACCCTCATTCATCCTGCCAGGACCACGCTGCACTCCGACAAGGCACTCTGTGATACATTCACGCCTGATCCCAGCTGCTCCAGTCACTGTCCTGTTCCCCAGGACACAAACGTGTCACATTGCTCATGCTCATGTGGCTTAAGAAGTTCTGTAAGGGCTTAATTGTTCAAATGCTCAAAGAAATGAAAGAATCCATAGTACAGACTCCAACAGAAAAGCATTTCCAATCAGTATTGAGGACAGTAACTTGATATTACTGGAGAAAAAGTGCTATGCTATTTGCAATCCAAAACTCATATACACATATATGTATAAAAAATATGTGTGTAACTGTGTCTACAGAGGGTAGAATTTCCAGTTGATAAATGAATTCCAAGTTTCTATCAAAATTAAAATGGAAGTATAAAATATTCATAATAATGTTAGACAGAATTTCATTATTTTGGAAGACTATTCTGAGGACCCTCTGATGTGCGTCTTGCCTAGAAATATTTTTTCTATCTTCTGCTCTAACCCGTCCTGCCCGCCTCCCCTCCCCTCCTTTCCCACTCCTTGGCCATTGTCCAAGGAGGCTGGAGGCCCTTCTCAACTCCTTGGCATGCATCCTCAGCCCTTCACAAATGCGAACATAAAAACAGTAATAGACACATGTGGTATGAAGAGGTGCTCAGTTTCCCAGTGCTGTCAGACAGTGGTAGTGGAGGTGCCCGTCCTGTTCTACTGTTAAGACTGGATCCAAGTCATAGTGGGGAAAATGGAAAAACAAAGATACCTCGGGACAGAACAAACAGAGGGACCGGGGAACATTCTGCATTAAATATGTAACCTCATTAAATAGTCAACATTCAAATTTACTTGGGCAAGGCACCGCGAGAATGACATTGAGAAGGTATGTCTCAATTTGCAAACCATTGGGGGGGTGCTGACGTGGGCAGTGGTCTGTGTACGGCCAGCTCAGTGCATAATCAGGCAAGGAGTTATGTGCGCGTGGCTCTGCGTGCTAAACCAAATGCCACCCGTCGGCAAGGCGGCCAAGCCACAGGACAGAGGCCGAGTTTGCACTCTGCACAGAGGAAGCAAGACTCTGGGGCTGGCCAGCCAGCCTGCCTGCCTGGAAGTCCTAGGGGACAAGGGCCTCTTACAGGTAGAGCCTTACAGATGTCATTCTCTTAAAAAAAAAAAAAAGCACAATAAAATACATTCTTCTCCTTTCTTGATCCTCTTTGATACAGGTGAATCACATGAAAGGCTGTTAAAAGTATTAAAAGTTTAGAAATTTCCAAGGCCACTAATGTGCCATCTAAGTAATACTGCACAGTCCATCTCGGCTTTTCGGAAACCACACAGGCAGCTGAGGGCCCCAGGCTCCCCCACTGACAGCACAGAGCACAGGTCTGTCAGCCCCGCCACAGGCTGCTCCCCAGGCCTGGCCTCCGCCCTAGCACGTGTGCACACACACACTGTGCGAGTGACTCTTGGGACTCAAAGCTGTAGTAAACTCACAGTTGTGAATAAACAAGCAGGCACGTGCACACACAGGGGAAGGAATATTCGGCTTGGTGTGGAGGGACGAGGGAGGGTTTCTGCAGATCTTGCTTCAGGTGAAGTTGCAACATAAACACTGTAATATACAGCTAAAAAATACATACGGAAATTGCACATACATCCATCGCAGAGGAGCATGGCTCCGTGGCGAACAGCTCTCAGCCAGCCCTCAGCCATCTGCCTTCCTGCGAGCTGGCCTCTGGAGCCATTAGAGAGTCTTGGGAGCAATGTGCCACTCAGGCCGTGGCAGACTCTCTGGAAGAGACCAGCTGTCTCATCAGCGGCCATCTCCCTGTCCTTTGCCTTCTGGCCATTGCAGTAGTCAGCCTCTTACACTGCCATCTAAGGAGACCTCAGAGATAAACAGATGCCACTTCACTCAGGGCTGTGTTTACAGCATTTGGTCAACCAGTTAACCCGGGTTACTGAGAGAGGGAAGCTGGCCAATCACTGCTTGGGGGAAAACTCGGATCCAGGTCCTGCTGACCTTGGTGCCGAACACTGACAGCTCTGACAGCAATCAAAAAATGGTGTTTTAAGCTCTGTTCCCTCGTGGCCCCTAGTGAATTGCACATGCAAAAAAATCATCTCCTGATGCCCTGCCAGCTATTCATAAGCTTTCAACTTGCTGCACCCTTCTGAGGCATCGCCAGCATCACTAAGGGTCAGCTCTGTAATGGGCCACAAGTGGGGACAGGGTAGAGGTGAAGAGCCAGGCAGTGGCAGCAGAGGGAGGCTATTAAGGCCATCCTCTGTGCAGTGCACACACTTATTGGTAACAGGAATGAAAACAGGTCTCTGACCCACGGGACGGGAATCTCTCTTTCTACTGCCCGTTGGAACAAAGGACACAGTCCTGGCAAACAAAACTGAGCTGATGCTAAGAATGGCAGGTCTGCCTGGTAGACACTCTATTACTGACAACTTAAAGGAAGGAGGAGGCAGTTCGAGGGGTGACTGGATGCTGGCAGAAGCTGGCTGTATCTGGCTATTGATAGCGAGAATAAATACTTGCTGCTAAGACGGCTGTTCGTCAGAATTGTGCCGGAACTGAACACAGCTCACTGAGCTCAGACCACAGGAGCGGACCCTTCAAGGAGATGCATCTGCAGTTTTCACTGCACGGAGGGGACTATGAGGATGGAAGGCGCTCCAGCGTGTTTGTGCAGCTGAATTTCTGTAGTTCAGAGAGCTTCTTACTTGATCTGGAGTGGTGGGTGAGCTCCTGAATGGACCCATTTGTTCATGGACAAGGATGGGTGTCTCTATCCTTTGAGTTCTGGATGAAGACCAGGACAGCGAAGTGTGGGGTGACATGAAGAGGAGGAGATGTAATAAAAGCAGCATCCCGGCCACATTAACGGGGTTGCAGGATCTTTACAATACAGCCGAGGGAGTCTGTCGTGGCAAAAGCCAGGTACTGAGCACAAAGCCAGTCCTCGAGGCTGATGCCACACTCTCTGTCCAGGGACTTTTCAGCAAACTTGATCATCAGCAGGGTTCTCTTAATGTCCAGCCAGTTCTGCAATAGGGCGTTTCTCTGCACCAGGCTCGGGGATGCGGCAAAGGTCTGGAAGAGGTCTTCACGGGGGCCCCAGAGCAGACACTGGAGGATGCCTCTGGCATCGGAAATGAGGATACGCTCAGAAGGGTTGGGGTTCAGGAGGCAGCTGGCCAGCTGCTGCAGGCCCCAGGAGTAGGGCGAGCGGAGAGGAATGCGAGGCAGGTCTGCGCGCGTATACTCCTTCTCCTTCAGATCGGGGTTCTCATCAAAGGGGTTGGGCAGGTGCAGCATCTCGTAGATGAGGATGCCTGTCTGGAACTCATCACACTTCTTATACTGAGTGGCCGTTATGATCTCTGGGGCAAGGCGGGACTGGTCTCGCAAGATCTCCGGGTCCACCAAGTGGCTCTTCTGCTTGGCCTGGGAGAAGTTGCTCACAATAAGCCTCGTGGGACAAGAGGAGATGGGGCTGGGCTCTGCAGGCCCGAGGCCCTGGGTGGCTCCCCCAGGTTGCTGGTGGACAAGCAGCAGATTCTCTAGGCGGAGATCACAGTGCGTGACGTGGTAGGGCTTGAGGTGCTCGAGGCCGGAGCACAGCTGTAAGAGCAGCAGACACACCTGCCTCTCATACGTATCAGGGCTTTTGCTGTGATGGGTCAGGGAATCTCGCACAAAATCAGCCACTGTGAGATGGGGAACCTCTCTGGTGATGACCACAACGTGGCTTCTCTGCTTCCTGTGTGGGATTCCCTGGCTCTCCTGGGACGACTCAGTTTCACAGCAGGGCTCTGAGTTTCCCCCACCAGTTTCTCCTTTCACTTCTTCCCTCTCTTCCATTTCATCCTCTTCCTTTTCAGGGGCATCAGGATCCTCCCAGGGAAGTAGACGATTAGGAACTTCAGCCAGGAAATGACCACAGTCCTGCTGGATGTTGAAGTGGACAGCCAGGCTCTGCCGAACGGCCAAGCTGTGATAATACTGCTGTGATTCTTTAGCTTTGCTCTTACAGATCTGAAAGAAGAAAGCAAATAACATGATTCACACTTTCATATCCATGCTCATGACATATTGAGGAGGATTAACTGGAAGGTGGCAGGTTAGGAACAAGCAGTTGCACAGTGAAGTCTTCGGAAAGGGTCTTGGAAGCCCTGTACCGAGTGACAGTCACGCTGCTATTCACCCTTCTGCTCTGCAGCCTTCAAAGTTGGCTGAGTTTCTCCTCAACAAATGGTGCTACGCGTCAAAGAATGAAACAAGATTTTCACTAGTTACAAAGTTACCACCTCTCACCAGTTACAAAATCAACTAAAGATTAAAGGCTTAAATGTAAGACCTAAAACTATGAAACTACTAGAAGAAAATATAGAAGAAATGCTTCAGAAGATAGTAGAATGGGCAAAAATATTTGGGAAAAGACCCCCAAAGCACAGGCAACAAAAGCAAGTATAGACACATAGGAGCACATTAAACTAAAAAGCTTCTGCACAGCAAAGGAAACAATTTAACAATTAAGTGAAGAGTGGGGCTGGGGATTTAGCTCAGCGGCAAAGCGCCTGCCTGGCAAGTGCAAGGTCGTGAGTTCAGTTCCTGGTACCGGAGAAAAACCAAAAACAAACAAACAAACAAAAAAAAAAAAAACAAAAAAACAATTAAGTGAAGAGAAAACACGGAGGAGAATATATGCAAATTACTGACAGAGTAAGGACAAAGGTTTTGGTAATTCACATGTATCCAAGAATCTATCAATTTCCTGTAAATTCTCCAATTCATTGGTGAACAGGTTTGTGAAGTAACTGTCAATAATCTTTTTGATTTTTCCAGTACTGATTGTGATTCCACCTTTTTCATTTTTGTTCGCATTGCCTTTTGTCTTTTCTGCCCTGTTTTGGTTAGAGTGGCTAAGGGCTTGTCTACTTCGCTTATGCTTTTGAAGAACCAACTCCTTTGTCCTACTGTGTCAGTCAATCTTGTGTGCCATAGACCACCACAATGATTTTCATTGAAAAGTTTAAAAACCTGGTTTATCTGGCCATTGTATGTCACTTCCCTGACCAATGGAAAGTTAACACAAAGGGTGACAGGCTATGAAATAAGGTCTTTGGGCCAACATGAAGTACCATCTATAGGCCTGCCCAGTGAGCCCAGGCTGTAAGCCTCTACAAAAAGTAGGTGGAGAAAAGCCTATGCTGTTGTTCAGTTTTCTAGATGAGATGCAGGTATAGTAGAAAGAACAGGCTTTGGCATTATATAGACTTAGGTACACAAACAGGTAGTCTGGGTAAATATATATTCAAGTCCTCTAATATTTATTGTTTCTTTATGGTAAAAATATTCAAAGTCCAGTCTTACAGTTCTTTTGAAATATACATAATCTGTAAGTCACCCTTACTGTGCAATAGAACAGCTGCACTTATCTGATCTGTTACTTAGCACCCACCGGCCAACCCTCTTTCTTTCTCCAACCCTCTTTCCCCTCTCTCCAGCCTCTTGTAAGGCTAGTCTATCTCCATTCCTATGGGATGAGCTTCTGTAGATTCCACAGATGAGTGAGGTCCTGTGTGTCTTTCTGTGCCTGGCTTATTTCACTTAACATAATGATCTTCAATTTCATCCACGTTGTCAAAAATGACAGAATTTCTTTGTGTATCTATACCATATTTTTATCTATTTGTATGGTTTGTATCTAGATGTTCCCCCAAAGCCTCATGTGACCAGAGCAAGGGCTTTTGGGAAGGGACTGGATCATGAGGGTGCCATGCCCACTGGTAGATTAGTCTACTGCTAAGTTTATGCAGCAAATGTGCTCTGAGGAGATGGGGCCTGGTCTGGAAGGGCGTATCACGCTCCCCACCCTCCTCTTTCTTCTCTCTGCTTCCTGTCTGCCATGCCATGAGCTAGTCTCCTCTGCCAGACCCCTGTCCTGCCTTGGGGCCAGCCAACTAGGTACTGAAACATGAGCCAAAATAAACCACCTCCTTTGCAGGTGTTGGTATTTTGTCTTAGTGATGGAGAAAGTAACTAAGATATCATCCATCAGTTGAACAGTTAGGTTTCCATTTCTTGGCTGTCATGAATTGTGCTACAGTGCACATGGGGTACACATGTCCCTCCCACATTATTAATTCTACTTCCTTTTATATTTATCCAAGACTGGGGTGCTGGATCATACAATTGTTCTGGTTTTAATTATTTGAGAACCCTCTATATCCCTCTCCATAATGGCTGTGCATTCCCTCCAACGTGTGCAAGGGTTCCCTTTTCCTCACATCTCCACCAGCACTTATCTCTTGTCGTTTTGGTAATTCTCATGGGAGTGAGATGAAAATATGGTTTTGATTTGCCTTTCCCTGATGATTGGTGACACTGAACTTTTTCTTTCATATACTTGACTACTGGTATGTCTTTTGAGAAATGTTTATCTAGGTCTATTGCCCATTTTTAAACTGGATTCTTTAGTAGTTGTTTTGCTATTGGATTATTTGCGCTTCTTATATATTTTGGGTATTAGTGCCTTCTCAGGTCTAGAGCCACTGGTCTGACCTGGTCAGAGCAAACCCAACACTGAGTGGCAGCATTCTGAGTTTTATGCTTTTGGTTAAGAGGCTCAAATTTAATTTCCATTAATGAGACCATAAGGACCTTTCAAAAAATAAACTTTATTAAGTAGCTGTGGGTCAAGGAAGTGTTTTCTTGATCAAAAACATCAGCTAAAAGTTCTACACACTGTGATAAGCATTATATTTCTAGTTTCAAAGGTCTGTACAAGCAAAAGTAAGCCACACCCCGGCTTACCTTCATGACAATGGAAGGCTCCAATCGGAGCCCACAGACCCTTACTGTGGGCTGGAACTTCCCCAGCCTCCCTCTCCACAGGGGACGCCAGAGCCTCCCACAACAGTCATTTCTCTAGTGTTTACATGGCTGATTGTTACATGAATACAGAACAGAAGCAAATTTTAAAATGTTTTTTTCTTGTCAGTTTTATTTAAAAAGAAAAATGTACACTTTCTGAAGATGATGTGGATGGTCTCCAGTCCTGAGAAGCAGCATGCTGATTTCAATTCAAATAGACATTAAACAGAAAGGAAAAAACGAACAAACCAAAGGAGACTTGGGAGAGGAGCATCCCCTCCTCACTTTTTGGATCCAGACAGGTAGACACTTGGTACCACTGGGCAGGATCTGAGAACAAGCACTTTCAAGGCTGCTGCCATCTATCTGTGACTTTGAGAAATGCGTACATGGGGCATTGCTTTTCTAAGCAAAGATAGATGACTGAATGGCCTGGGATTGTTTCTACATCTTCTGTTCTGTCTCAGTGAGCCGCATGTCTGTTTTTGTGCCAGTCCCATGCTGTTTTTATCACTGTAGCTTTGTAATATAACTTCAAGCCTGGGTTGTGATGCTCTCACTTTGCTCCTCTTACCCAGGATTGCTTTTGCTTTTCTGGGTCTCTTCCGGGTCCACATGAATGCAGGATTGTTTTCTCCAGTTCTGTGAAGGATGTAATTGTTATCTTGATTGAGACTGCATAAAATCTGTGTATTAATTTTCAAAGAATGACCATTTTGACTATATTGGTTCTGCCTATCCAGAAATGGGGATATCTTTCCATTTTCTAATGTCCTCTTCAGTTTCCCTTTATAGAGTTACTATAGTTTTCATTGTAGATGTCTTTCACTTCCTTAATTCCTAAGTATTTAATTTTTCTTAGTGCTATTATGGTGTTTTTTTCCCCTAATTTCTTTCTCAGTGGATTCATTACTGGCACGAAAGAATGCTATTCATTTTTGTGTTGATTTTGTATTCTGCCACATTTCTGCATTTGGTTATTAATTCCTGAAGTCTTTTGGTGGAATTTTTTGGGTCTTGTATGTAAAGAACCGTGCCATCTGCAAATAATAACAGTTTGACTTTTTCCTTTCCTACACATATCCCTTTTATTTCTTTTTCTTGCCTGACTGTTCTTGCTAATGTTTTGTGTACTACTGAGCAGGAGTGGGGATAATGGACATCCTTGTCTTGTTCCTAATTTTAGGAACACTTAATATGATGTTGGCAGTAGGTCTGTCATAAATGGCTTTTATCCGATTGCGATAAGGTCCTTTTATAGCTATTTTCTTCAGGGTTTTATCATGAAAGGATGTTGGATTTTGTCAAAGGCTTTTGCTGTGTCTATTGAGATAATCGTGTGATTTTTGTCCTTGCTTCTGTTTTTGTGATGGATTATACTTATTGATTTGTATATGTTGAATCATCTTTGCATCCCTGGGATGAAGCCTACTTGGTCATGACATATGATCTCTTTAATGATTTACTGCATTCTCTTTGCCGGTATCTTAGGGGGTTTTTGCATCCATGTTCATTAAAGAGACTGGCCTGGAGTTCTTTTTTTTTCCCATTGAGTCCTTTCCTGGTTGTAGAATCAGGGTAATGCTAGCTTCCAGGAATAGCTCTGGGAGTGCTTTTTCCTTTCCTTTCAACTTCATTAGAGGTTGAGGAGTACTGGTGTTGGATCGTATCTGAAGTTCATGCAGAATTCAGGAGGGTATCTGTCAGAACCTGGGTTTTTTTAGTTGGTAGGTTTTTTATTTCACTGCTTGTTGTTGGATTATTTAGGGTTTTAAAATCTTTTTGGTTCAGTTTTAGTAATTCATATGTATCTAAGAATCTATTTCCTATAAATTCTCCAATGTATTGGTGAACAGGTTCATGAAGTAATTGTCAATAATCTTTTTTATTTCAGCAGCACTGATTATGATTTTACCTTTTTCCACTGTTATTTGCATTGATTTGTGTCTTTTCTGTCTTAGACTGGCTAAGGGCTTGTCTATTTTGTTCTTTCAAAGAATCAACTCACTTACTTGATCTCAATTGCATCGATTTCTGCTTGTTTGTTTGTTTTGAGGCAGAGTCTTGCTATGTAATTCAGGCTGGCCTTGAACTCACTAGGTAGACCAGGCTGGACTTAAACTCCTGGCGATCTTCCTGCCTCAGCCTTCTGAGTGCCA